CGGGAGGCCTGTGCCCAGGAGTGGGACGTATATAGGCTGTAACTTTATATAGCTCTTGCAAGTGAGTGGAGACTTGGTATTCAAAGTCTTTTAGGAGCTATTTCGTTTGGCACTTGGCACTATGTCACAATTGTAGAAAAGAAGCAAAAATGGAACAAAATATTTTGTTTTTCAAAATAGACCATAACGCCTTTATGAAGAATTACAGCTGGTTTATCTTCTAAATTGCGTCTACATGCTATTTTCGAAAGTCATTACAAACGGTATGGCACGTAGACTTCATGACTTCTAGTTTTCCGAATACACTAATTTGAAACCTAGCACTATGCTAAGTTTAGCTATATAGTGTGCGCTAACGGTTAAGTCGTCAGAAAAGATGTGTTCTATGTTTAGGTCACATTTATATGGGCTCATTATTATCGAAGAATATATTTGAAACATAACATTTAAGCAAAATATGGTGGTTGTAGATTTAATATAACATATATCACAGTGATTCTTTTATATTTACACAAAGACTTGGCGTTGAATAAAACCAATTTTACGGATTTTATCGCGTTTATTTTAAATTATACGCTATTTCATCCGCAAAATGATCAATAATAAATGTTGCTGATTACTTCATCCATTGGAAACCATGCGGAATAGTATACATTTTGTGAGCTATTTAATTTGACTCTATTTAAATTCTTAATAATTGATTGCTATTATGTTAAAGTAATATAGATCGCACGCAGCGTTTTGATAATGTATGCGGATGATTTTTTACATCTAGTTATCGTACAAGGGTAATGTGAATTTAAATCATAAATTACTTTAGTTGCTCATTCAAATTAGTTATTGAGAAATTACACTGACTGATACAAAATTATAAAACTGAAAACTGAAATTTACATATCAATTTAAAAAAGACCTAAAATATCTAATTCAATTTAGGCTACGTTAAAACAATAAATTCAATTCATCATTTTCTTTCAATAACCTAAATTTAGAATGCGTTTTAACGTTACGTTACTCGGAACTGTTATCGACAGTAATTTGACATGGAAACTCGAAATCCTTTATACAAACTGTAACCACTAAATTATCCCAGTTTACGTACGGGTTTGAAGAAAACAATTGACACAAAGACCGCTGTTACGGCATACTATGCCGACGCTCACGCGTGGGATAGCTAAGGCGTTATGTTGTAGGTCAATAGCGCGCACGCTCAGGGGCAGCCAATTCTTTGGAAAAAATGTTGAAGGATTCATACCAACATTGAACAATACCTGTTTGGGAAGTATCCTTATAACTAACTTGTTTTACATTCCAATTGTTTTATATATGCTGACGATTTAAAATTCTGCAAAATCGTTAATAAATCGTCAGACATGATACTTCTTTAGAATATTGTAGCACAGTCTGGCGTCCCCATTACTCTACCCATACCCTACGGCTTGAGCGCATACAGAAAAGATTTTTATGGCATCTTGCCTTTTCAACACGAAAATCATATAAAAATGCATCATATGTTGACAGATTAAAGACATTTAAAGTGGTCTCACTGTCTAAACGCCGGAATATTCTGGATTTGCAAATTTTATATAAAATATTTAGAAATAAGTTCGATTGTTCTTTATTACTAAGTAAATTTAATTTTCGTATCCCAAGTACATATCGTGTAAGTACATTACTCCTTTCGCCGCCCCTTCGTAGAACTGTACTAGGATCTAATTCCCCAATACTTTGCAGACTTTTAAATACTTATAATAATGTAGGGTAAAACACCCGGTAGTCAGCCCTGTGCCAGTACTCAGCCTTTACAGACATTATTTCCTTATAAATAGTGCTGATATTTGTCTACACCTTTAAAATAACGTTTAATTGAATCCATGTCTCCTTATTGGTTAATATGCACACCTACGAACCAATAGCTCATCAGGTTGGTGAGCTATACTTGTTAATTTACACTGCTGTCAAAGACACGACTAGACGCATCGCTTTTGCAATTTTTTTCTTAAGGGGAAATATAACCTCAAATGGCTTAGCAAGATCCTCCGTTATGCCGAAAGTATTGCAGCATTAATTTTGAAATAAATATATGGTAAAGTTGAGGATTAATGTTAAGGTTTATGTTAGACGAAAACACGATTTCGTAAAATTTTTCTCGATAGAAAAAAATCCAAAGTTACCTCCAAACTGAACAATAAACCGCTGTTATTCATAAAATACTTTAAATAAGATCATGAAACTTTGCATACTAACTGAACTAACCATAAAGCAGTGCTTATGTTATTTACTTTTTTTAAAATATCATTATTTTCACTGTAAAAAGAAATTACCTAAACTATCGGCGCGTAAGCTTGGTTCCTGCAGGAACCGTAAAAAGAAATTACCTAAACTATCGGCGCGTAAGCTTGGTTCCTGCAGGAACCAAAAGTAAATAACATAAGCACTGCTTTATGGTTAGTTCAGTTAGTATGCAAAGTTTCATGATCTTATTTAAAGTATTTTATGAATAACAGCGGTTTATTGTTCAGTTTGGAGGTAACTTTGGATTTTTTTTCTATCGAGAAAATTTTACGGAATCGTGTTTTCGTCTAACATAAACCTTAACATTAATCCTCAACTTTACCATATATTTATTTCAAAATTAATGCTGCAATACTTTCGGCATAACGGAGGATCTTGCTAAGCCATTTGAGGTTATATTTCCCCTTAAGGAAACGCGTTCGAGTATTCGTTAAGTTTTTGGGTGTATTTGCTGTAATTTATGGTAGATTCTTGTACTGTTTTACACAAAAATGATTATTCTGTCATAAAGTTAACTATTAAATGCATTTTATTTGTTTGATATGTTGTAATTTAGGTGGCCGACTACCGGGTTTCGAATTTTTAGGGTAGATCCAGTACTCAGCCTTAAGTGGCTGACTACTGGTTTTTTCATGATTTTCTTATATGTGGTTGAGATTGCCGAAGCGAATAGTCCCAATTTTGCCCATTACTTTCGGTTTAACTCTTATGAGACGAAAAGTGTATTTTACCAGTAGTCGGCCGCGTACGAATGTAACTGCATATCGGGGGCCGACCAATGGGTCTACAAATCCAGTACTCAGCCGTTAGTCTTGTTGCATAAAATAGTACCTTAAAGCCTTTTAGTTTGGGTTGAATTTATGCACGGTTATTTTAGCGTGAATATCATTTTTTTAGAATTGTTTTAGAATTCCATAATGTCAAAAAGACCAATCCACCAATACAAAGAAGAGCAATTAATACAAGCTGTGACTACGAAAAATAGTAAAATAGGAAGAAAAATACATGTACAATAAACAGAATAAGATGCAACAACTGTGAAGAAGAATTGACTAGCGATACAGAAATTAATGACTTAAAAATATTGGATGTGACAATTGCCTTGCATGGTATCATTTAAACTGTACTGAATTCGCTGGGAAAATATATGAAAATATTTATGTCAAATATGAAGATAAATATGAAGAATTTTTATGTCAAATATGCAAGAATAAGTGAGAGGCTGACTACAGGGTAAGACATGGCTGACTTGTAGAGAAATGAGGCTGACTACTGGTGAAAAGTGCCATAATTTGTTTACTACTGATTTTTTATATAATTCTATTATAAATATACTTTTTTGTTAATTTCTTTAGTAAATTTAATAAACAACTTTTCTAAAAATAATGATTGTTTTTGTTCATAGTGTTCAATATTTAAAATACAATTGAATCAAATTTTAGTCCTCACTAAAAGGCTGACTACTGGGTGTTTTACCCTAGTAGATATTCACCACGACTCTTTTAACGTTTTTCGATAAAAAAATTATCAAACTATTAATATTTCTTTGTTTTTTTTTGTAGTAATTAAATTTTTTTCTAAATTGTGTACTGTATATTTTTAGTTATTATGTAAAGGCTTGTGGGAAATGCTGTGAGCACTAAGCATGCGGTGTTTACCTATTATTGAATGTGCACTTAGTTTATATCATTGTCTTAGAATTAAGCAAATGTATTAGTGTAACATTTGTTGGTGAACCAAATAAATAAATAAAATAACTTTAGAAACTAGTTAATCTAAATTTATAAAATTTAAAGATCTTAACTTTATCTTGCACAACGGATTAGAAATTTGTAGATTTGCAAGAAAGTGCCTGTATACAGCGTTTAAAGATATCTATCGTCGCTACAAATAATATGTTCAAATCGAAATCTAATTTACTACAACTTAGCTCCGGGTATTCAATATCTATAAAAGTTTATAACAAAGTAGTTTTAAAAATAAAAGAGGAAAACAAGTTTAGCAAACTTGTTGAATTATAAAGGAGTTGCTTCTAAAGCTTACAAAACAGTCAAGAAATACATAGAAGATTAAACGCTTTAGATGTCTGCCTTTCTCTTTATCTTTCATATTGCTATGCCTGAACATTATCATGTGTATATTTGTGTCGTGTAACAATATCACACGAAGTGCAGTTAAATAAAACTAGTTTATACGGATTATATCGCGTATATTAACTTATTTTACTCAGGCATAGAACTTATTTTTCTGAGGTAACATCTCAATCCGCCCCGTGAACATGGGTGCTGCATGGTATGGGGTGGGAACATGGGTGCCCGAGACGGCGGGAATATTAAATGTGTAGTGTTCGCGTAAACATAAGAAATCATAATGCAGTGCAGTTATTAATTATTGAAAAAAAAAAAGGTTGAATAAGTTTGAAGTTACTAAGTAAGAAGGAGTCCGGAGCGCACTTGATATTCAAAACGTCACTATGTATATATAAAGGGGAAACAACTGAAAAGGTAATAACAAAAAGTATTATATACATAATACGTTAATGTATATAACATATACATACGCGATAAACGAGTTAGCAATGGACCTCGGACTTTAAAAGCAAAGTCGTAGATCGGTTGGTGCAGTGTCGCGAATCGTTGCGATACGTACGGTCATTTTGATTATTTAACATAATTTAACTTTTTTTTTATTATTTAACGTACAAAATGTATAAGTTATATGTGTTTTTCCTTGTCGGTAAGTATGTTATTGTTAGAAGAAGCTGTACGTTAAAAATCACATTACATTGTATAAAATAATAGTCTATTTAATAAGCCATCTGTCAAAAATTAAATCAAAAATCAGTTCATAACAATTAATACTCAGTAAATTAAAACAAAAGTAAAAATATAGCATTTGTGTTTATTATAAATCATGATGTAAAATCATTACATTTCCCGCAAGGCCTTTAAGCGGCGGAATTTAAATCAAGTGTATATTTTAAAAAAAAATATTCCGATTCTAACATTTTAAAATTTGGTTTTCTTTTATTTATCAAACTTAATTCACGCACAAAATATTTTTTAATAACTTGGTACTTTTCCCAAATAAATAGGAAACTATAATATAGGGCCGGGTGTACGGCCATTAAATACAAATCCGCTTTTTCAAAAAAACTGGTCACTTTTGTTAATATTTATTTCGTTGTCATCATGCAGCCACCATGTCCATACTAAGATATTTGAGGTATACCTATTAGTCTTCATTTTATTAAGCATGGGGTAGACCTATCTTTAGCATTGAACTTGTGAGGCATAATACTTCGCCTTATGAGATTCGTAAGAGACGCCTACGGGAATGCCAGTGAGATTTCATGGTTCCTATGAATAATATCATGAGGGTGCCAGACGAAAAATTAAATGGTCTGGTACCACTAGCGCCACTCGGTCTGTTAAGTGTGGCAAATCCTACCTACTATAGGGGAGGCTAAAGTTCAACTGTTATAGACTGATTTTAGTGATGATAATAATTTCTTATTATATTTAATCTAGTGTGGCGATTATTATTAGAAGATTACTATCGCTTGTGTTTTCCTTAGTAAAAATCGTTTTATCACATTAAAGGCATAAAATGAAGGGGTAGACGCTTTTACGTCGCTTTTACGTGCTTCTTGACCACAGGTGCTGATTGAGTAAAGCTACATATATATACGGATTTTATCATGTTTAATTAACTTTAAAAAAAATTAATATTAAAAAACTGAAGGTAGCCGGGATAACTATGAAATTGGGACGTCAAACACCCGAGACGTCGGGAATTAAAAATAAGTTAAAATAAGTTTAAACGCGGTAAAATCCGTATACGTATATAGTTTTATTCAATATGTAGTGTTCGCGTAAATTTAAGAAATCACAGGTGCTAAACCTATGTTTTATTAGATTAGACCTATGATTATTTAGCCATTGCAGATATTATGTTGAAATAATAGCCTATTTGGTTTAAATTCATTAATTATGTCATAGTGAAAAACGAAATCACGATTCATCTTATTGTAATGGTTACTGTAGCATCCTGCAACCAACTTTAAGTAAGTCAAGAAAAGCCTCGGTGACACTCTCGAGGTCTAAGATGGACTGTTTCATACCCTGTATTTATACAGGCTCTTCCACACTTTAACCAAAACCCAGAAATGGGTACACTGCAGATTGACAGCAGACATAGGCAAGAAGTTGATACAAAAGTAACCTTTTCTCATTCACGTTGATCATAACGCAATTAATACGTTTTATCCTTCGGATAGAGGGTCAATTTCCTCTGTCCGGAAGAATAAAAAGTGATAACTGACAGATATAAATTTTATTAATGTGGTGTTTTTTTTTAATTTTATGAATCGATAACGTTGTTAAGTTCGGTTATACTTAGAATTGATTAATTATATCATCTGCTTGTCTTAAATATTCTTTAATATCGAGTCTGGATTCTATTACATATTCTAATTGAGCCTGGAGTATTTATTTATTTGCAGCGTGACCATAAAACCTGCGGGAAAAAGAGTATATTAAATATAATAAATCATAATTTTTTGCATATTTAACAATAAAAATAACTTTACAACAATCTACCCATGTCCCACAGCTGGGGATAATTTTTCTCTCATTCCTAAGAAAGTTCCAGTAGCAGGATAAGAGTCCGCTGGATTACCCCCCAATGCAAGTCTAGTGTGATAGCCTTCACAAGTCGAAATGTGATGGAATTGATTTACAATTACGAAAAACCTTCATGTGGAGGCGATGCAAGAAAATCCACTATCCCATTTCATCCCGCAGAAGTCGTAAGAGGCGACAGAGGGAATCTGAAACAGGAGATCGGCAGCAGCATCTTCCCGACAACAAGTTAGTAGCTTAATGCTGCTGTATCTCGTACGGTGAGCGTAGAGAACACCTACTTTTTACTGGCAAACGAGGCATTCCATCTTAGTCCTCACGGGTGACAAAGTATCTAAACTTTGATTTATAATCGAGGATAGATGTAGATGTCTATGGGCCACAGCAACCACTTACCATCAGGTAGACTGTGTGCTCGTTGATCACCTTATCCCATAAAAAAAAAACAAAATAACATAAAAAACTGCGTGGCAACTTGCCTGCTGAGCGTGGTGGTAACTATAGCAAATATCTTTTATAAGATGTTGGGGGATGGCTATACTAAGTGGTCCTATCAAAGATATGGGATTGATGATTATCATTACGAAAATCATTAACGTGATTAATTTTTGGGCATTTTATTACAGTGTTCCTAATCGGTGAAACCACTTCTATGAGAATAAAACGACAATCACGCAACGAGACTACGACAGCAGAGCCTGAGGCTGCGCAAGTGCAACCTGTGTCACCAAGCTCCTCCACTCCTACTGAAAATGGGTAAGTTTTAGAGAAACTTTTATTAGTTGGGTTATTGGTGGTATTGCGACAAAGCTCGATCTACCATCTATACCATCTGAATGACTGGCGGTCCACCACCGTGCGATTTAAAAGAAGTTTTCTTCCTCGCACAACTTCCTTGTGGAATCGACTATCACCAGAGATTTTTCAGGACAAATACGACTTAGGGACCTTCAAGAAAAGAGCCTACACCTTTTTAAAAGGTCAGCAACGCATCTGCGATTCCCCTAGTGTTGCAGTTGTTCACGGTGGTACTCACTTACCATCAGGTGAGCCGTATGTTCGTATGTTCCTTTCCTATAAAAAAAAAGTTTTTTCGCCAGTTTTGTTAAACACGTACGTTTTTTTTATTAAACTGACGTGACAAACAAAACATACAATTCACGTTATGATAGGTAAGTGGTTACTGCAGTCCATTGACCAAGTGTAGCCAACTTTAGGCAAAGAAGGCTTCAGGTAAGGCCTCATTAGTAACTACATTGGCTCCTTACTCGTATTCCATTCAGAACGGAACAAAGCAATGCGGGCACTGCTTTTACAGACGGGCTCTTAGGAAGAGAACGTGTTCTGCTACCTAGATATCAAAATTACAGCTTATAATTCATGGTTCTATTCCTTATTATCATTACCTCATAATTCCACTAGAGAATATAGGTCCATCCTACAGACTGGAACAAAACTTACTCCTACTAGTAGTGGTAGCATTTTACTTTTCTTTCCAGGGCACCCGATAATCTATTCTCATTTGGTTTTCGGGTCTTCGAGCTATATGGGTAGTCCACTGTCACTACAGCTAACTGATTCATTGAGCTATGTTAGATAATCTGGTTTTGCTGAGGATTTTTTATATGGGATAGGGTGACAAACGAGCACACTGTCTACCTGATGGTAAGTGGTTGCTGTGGCCCATAGACATCTACATCTATCCTCGATTACGAATCAAAATGCAGATGCGTTGTCACCCGTGCGGTCTAAGATGGAATGCGTCGTTTCCAGTAAAAAGGGTCTCCGGTTCTCTATACTCACCATACAAAACACAGCAGCATTAAGCTACTATTTTACGCCGGTATTCTGTGAGAGCGTGCTCCTTCCCCGGTCGAGCCGACCCATTCGTGCTACAACTATACTACTAATATAACTTCAGCATGGCTCTACCACGTTAACGAAATAATTAAGGTAGCTAAGGGCTTAGCTCTTCTATAGCTTCGCAGCGTTCATAAATCTTCTTTTCCAAGCATAGTCTCTCCATAGCTCACTGATTTTGATACCTGACAATTTTTGTTAAACAATGTTTCCTTTTTTTCTTTTGAATGACCAATGTCAAACCTGTTTTACCTGACTTATTGTCAATCAGGTTTTCAAAAGTATTGATCAAGGTTGGATAAAAAAATCATATTTGATAGTCTTCGTAACGATAAATTTGATTTAATAGATTTGGTGTTATTTTTTTATTATTTGTTATTTAATGTACGTTGTAATTTAAATTAAATCCATGAATGTTACTTTACCTTTAATATTTTAAGTTATCGCTTTAAATTTTGAGATGGGTGTGAAAGCCTCGTTTAGTAAAAAGGGTCTCCGGTTCTCTACACTCACTATACGAAAGACAGCAGTATTGAACTGCATTTTACGCTAGTATAGTGTGAGAGCGTGGTCCTTCCCCGGTCGAGCAGACCCATTCGTACTACAACCATAATATAGCTGTAGCATGGCTCTACCACATATAAAAGACTGGCAAATGCTCCGTCAAACGTGTGAGACGACTGGTACTGCAAATACCATATGCCTATGGGGGGGGGGGGGGGGGCACACTATGATGGAAGTGGATAGCGTTCACTCCACTATTGAGCAATACATAAAACCACTAATATTCGCTCCCAGTGATTACATCACCCGGATTATACAAGCTCGACCACAAAAGCCCTATGATGTCAAATCCATTCACCATGATTTCTTTTTAAATTTTGAAGAGATGGAATCGGACCTAAAATCCATATGTCCTGGCAAAAAGAAGGTATCCTCCTGTCGTGGTGAGCATTAGAGGTCTTAGATATGGCTCTATATTTTATAGGTCGATGACATGTCGATGAGTGGTCTGTATTACCACAGCGAAGAATTAATCAAAGTTAAGTTTGGTATCTCCGAACCGATTGTACATACCTCCATTGTTGAGAGTAAGTTTAAGCATTTACAGAAATTAGTAATAGATCAGGATTAGCATCCGTTTTACGATGTATTACAATATAATACTGGTACTTAATACATAATAATAATACAGGTACCTCAGAAAATAGTGCTACTTTGATGGGAAATCTTAATATTATTTTAACTCGTGGTGCAACTGTTATATGTGCATATGTATTACATATCTTAATTAGTGTTTCTTAACAAATATATTTTTTAAATAAAATTAATAGTTTTTAATTTTAATTATTATAGGCATTTTTGTTCAAAAGTTCTGATGTAATACATAATGCGTAACTAAAATCTCTTGTGTTAACTAAATTGTTTTGACTGTTATTCTACTTTTAATCCCAATTAACAATAGCAAAGCAGGAATTCATACAGCAGACTCTTACCTACGTTTTTTGTTGTTATTATTATTTTTTTTTGGTTGATGGTTTTTATCGTTTTCCTCATAAAATTAATTTTTACGCATAAGAAGTCGTAAAACATAATCGTTCCTTGAGTAAACCTCAGAGGATAAAATATTTCGTTTGTGGATTTTCAATTACTTCGTAATATTAAAACTCAGATACCTTTGTATTTTCCTCGTACAATATACCTTGCAGTGTTTATAATTATTTATGTTTGTAGCATTTATATTTAAAATTCCAAACTATATTTTTTGACATTCACTTTTTGTGTATTCCAGACAAAATACGCAGTCGGAATCAGACTTACAGGAATGCATTCGGAGCTGTCCAGTGACCTCCGAATATAATCCTGTTTGCGGGTCTAATAGAGTTACCTACTCTAACCCTGGTAGACTCCTGTGTGCCCAAGAGTGTGGTGTCAGTAAGTATCTAGTTAAATATTATTATTACAACTAAGTTACGTCGGTGATTTTATATGGTGAAAGTGACTTTGGAATGTGCCAGAAACGCTTACTCCAGACGTAAAATATCGAGACTGGTGACCAGGAGCAGCGTCTAAAAAGCGAGACGTCTGGTGCTGCGACGGTCAATTCGTTTGTCAAGCCTGATCATTAATACAAATCCTTAAGAAGAGCTTCCATGCCAGGCAGTGGACTTTTACGGGATGATAATATGCCAATAAGGCAGTAAAAGTAAACCTAATTTGGGTCACCATACTTAAGTTACAGAGGCAATATAACCAGCTCTGCAAGACATGTGATGTCGATATCTCTGCTGATAAGCCTCTAAAATTCAAGCGATTAATTATTTAGTCTTTTACTGTTAACTAACATTTAGGTCTAGTTTTAAAGTAGTTGTAAGTTTTTTTTTATAGGAAAGGGTGACAAACGAGCACACAGTCCACCTGATGGTAAGTGGTTGCTGTGGCCCATAGACATTTACATCCATCCTCGATTACGAATCAAAATGTAGATGCGTTGTCACCCGTGAGGACTAAGATGGAATGCCTCGTTTCCAGTAAAAAGGGTCTCCGGTTCTCTACACTCACCATACGATATACAGCAGCATTAAGCTACTATTTCACGCTGGTATTCTGTGAGAGCGTGGTCCTTCCCCGGTCGAACCGACCCATTCGTGCTAGAACTATACTTCTAATGTAACTGCAGCATGGCTCTACCACGTTCTTTGTAAATTACCACGTTCTTTGTAAATTTGTTTGTGGTGTGAATAAGATATTTTATTAGTTTTAAGAAACATATTTGTTATCCACATTGCATGCCGTGGCAACCTTTAATTAAGACGACACTTAGATATAACTTTCCTGTTATTTCTAGTATTTATATTGTGTTCGTGTATGTCTTGTTGGTTGTCCTTAATAAATTAAAAAAAAAAAAGATAGTTGATTACTACTATCAACCGAAGGAAACGCAAAAGGCTTTTTCTTAATCTTATTTCACACGAAATGAGATATGGGGTTTCTAGTATAGTTCTTTTTAAATTTTGAATTTCGATACTGCCTGTCGTCACTGAAATGGACAGTCTTTGAGATTATGTTTTTCGGGGAATATGCATTTGGCACGATCCTGACACACCTCTCTCGCCTCCTTCACATCCTTACATCTACGCATGCATGCTCGTCGGTTAAGGGTACTCCTAATTTGGACCGTTTTCAATAAATCGCCAATTTGGTCGATAAATTTTCGCCTAGGACGTCCCTTTCCGACTCTGCCATTCACTTCTGCAACATACATTTTCTTTGTCACTCTTTCCTCATTCATTCTTTTCACATGACCAAACCACCGAAGCATTCCTTTCTTAATCCTGGTCACAATATCATCTTGCAAACCACACTCTTCTCTTATTACACAATTTCTTACCCTGTCATTCAGATTCAGCCCTAACATACTCATTAACGACCGCATTTCTACTGCGTTCATTCTACTCTCGTGCTTCTTCTGCCACACCCAACTTTCACTACCATACGTTAAAGTAGGGACCACCACAGCATTGTGAATTGCCATACGTGCCTTTTTCGACATATTTTGACTCTTTACAATAGAGTGCAGGGCCCCATTTACTCTATTTCCTGCATTCACTCGTCGTTCTATATCCTTATCATATCTCCCATCCCTGCTAAATACGCAGCCCAAATATACAAACTCATCTACTTGCTCGATCAACTCCCCTTCTATTCTTATTTCACAAATCGTTTTACTTTCTTTTCTTTCAAAAACCATAACCTTCGTCTTACTTGCGTTTACTTTTATACCACTTTCTTTTAATGATCTGTTCATTAATGTAACCATCATTTGCAACTCGGCCGCCGACGACGCAAGAATAACTTGATCATCGGCGTACGAAAGGCATTTGACGGTTAACTCACCCATTCTTAATCCGCATTCTTCAACTTTCAAATTTTGCAAACAACTGTCCATAAATAAGTTGAACAGCCACGGGGAAGCCACACAGCCCTGTCGGACACCTTTATGGATGTCAAACCAGTCCGAGTAGACCCCGTTGATCCTAACACAAGCACTAGAGTCCATATAAAGAGACAATGCCTGTATCAAGCCAGCGCTCAACCCAAATGAGTTCAGTGTTTGCCATAGCACATCCCTATCCAGAGTGGATCGCGCAGGGATATGATTGTCCTTTGCTATGTGTTTGTTTATGCAATTTGTATTTTCCTGGGACTATCACGGCTTTGCACCAGTCTACCGGTACCCGTTTAAGTTCCCAGCATAAATTAAACAAGGTGTGCAGCAGGCCTGCCTCCACTTCCTCTCCAGCCCTTAGCATTTCGAGTGAAACTCTATCATATCCGGCAGCCTTACCTGCTTTCATGCTTTTCATTGCTTTCATTATTTCATCTATACTTATCTCGCTACCTCTTTCCTCTTCTTTCGGAGTTTCTAATTCACTTAGTACACACGTTGTCTCCTCACTCATAAACACGCTTTCAAAATATTCCTTCCATCTCTTTAAACTCAAAACTTCATCATACAGAATATACTCGTAGCCATTCACGTCTCTTATAGCATTCATCATAGGCTGTTTTGAATGTCCCCTGGCAGTTCTTACAAGTTTCCAGAACATTTTAATATTTGCCTGGAAGTTATCCGATATTCTTCTATCATTTTTATCCGTTCTTTCTTGCTTTTTTCTTTCAACTACTTCTTTTACTCTCTTATTTAGATGTCCAAAGACTGCCTTTTTTCTTTCAATATCATCATTCGTACCGCTAGAATTACCAGCCTTTGTTGCTAGTAAATCTAGCCATGCTCTCTTCTTTGCTTCAACTTCCATACGTATCTCATCATCCCACCATAACGTATTATTTTTCTTTTCATTCTTTCTCTTACTAACACCACATACTTCGGTAGCTGTATCCACTAAACCTTTCTTTACATTATGCCATACATTCTCCAAGTCTAACTCCTTCATACATAATTCATCCAAACCACTTATATTTTCTTTCAGTCTACATTTGAACTTGTTTTTCTCACCTTCATCTTGTAACCTTTATGTTCTAATACGCTGTAACGCAGTGGTAGACACAGACGATCGATAGCGCCAATGCCTGAACAGACCATTAATTCGGCATAAAACCAAGTAATGATCCGTTCCTACGTTAGAACCCCGGTAAACCCTTGTATCTACTACTGCACTCCTCAATCTTTCATCCACAAATATGAAATCTATCATGCTTCTATCGTCACCTCTTTCCTAAGTATACATGTGAATCCTCTTGTGCCGAAAGCAAGTGTTCGTCACAAAAAGATTCTTTTCCATACATACGGTGAGGAGACTTTCACCATTCTCATTTATACTTTCATCACCAAACGTTCCCAATATCCTTTCATAACCAAGCCTCCTGACCCCAACCCTTCCATTAAAATCTCCTAGCATAATAATATTTTCATTTCCCTTACACTTCATTAACACCATCCTTACCATTTCCCAAAACTGCTCTCGGATATAAGTGGGCTTAGACATGTCTGGGGCGTAGACCCCTAACACAAACAACTTCTTTAAGCCTACTTTCATTCGTATCCATAGCAGTCTTGGGCTTACACATTCATACTCTTTCACACATTGGCCCATTCTTTCTGAAAGGATGATACCTACTCCCTGGCATGCCCGTTCGATCTCGTCTACACCAGACCGGTATGCGGTATACATGCCATGTGCAGTGACATCCTTCCTCTTCCTTTTCGTCTCATTTACACATAATACATCTATTCCTCTATCATACATCATATCGCATATTTTATCAATTTTATCATTCATTGCCCCACAAACATTCAACGTAGCAGTCGGGCCTCTGCAATCCACTTTTCGCCTCTTGGGAGACAGAACGTGACGGGTGGCGAACCTCGTCGCCGGTTTTCCTCCCGGAGATTCTTCGCACCTCTGCCCCATTCAACGGGCGCCGGGAACTCGCGGCCGTTTCTTTTCTTTGGTTCCTCATGGTGCGAAATATGGGGTAGTATATTTTACGCTGCTACCACGGCGTGGAGCCGAGTCTGTGCTATCGGCTTGTCGCCCATTTAGCACCACCCGGGGGACACGTTTAGGGCGGGCCTAGGAATAGGTGGTCAAAGCCTACGGACGCGAGCGACTTATCCCCCATTTACATTACATTTCCGAAGTACTTAGTATACTAAGTATATATGTATATATATACTAAGTAAGTATATTGAAATCATATATCAATGGAGACTTTATTAAATAAGCTATCAGATTATGCATAACAGATATATATGTTATATATATATATATACATGTATGTTATATATATGTATGTTATATATATTATATATATGTTACAAATAGTTTGCTATCACTCGACGCCATATTATGGCGTTTGACAGATACGCATATTATTTGAGACGCTGGAATATGGCGTTTGTACAGACGTCGCGGTATTAATGTTTTTGACTGATTTTGATAAAAGTCTTCAATTATTATAGAATATTGTAATAAACAATATCAGTATGTGCTAATCGCATTAGTTACACTTTTATTTAAAACATAAAAGATTTTTAACATGTTTATGGTCATTATAAGATGTTGTTAGGTTAGCTAATTACGTAATAACTTAAAACAGAAGGACCGTACGTGTTCGCGTCGTAGATAGAGAAAACTATAGACAAATTGACGCCTTCTTTCGCATTCGCACACGAAAAAGACAGATTTATGCATACGTCTTGCATGGAAATGAGTTAGAGCGGTGTGATTGTTTGTCCCTTTCTCCGTGCCGGTATTTTTGTTTAGCAAACTACACTTTGCTAAACAACTTTGACAGTTCGTAACGATTTAAGGAGTTTACAAGTTGGTGTGAAAAAAAGTGTTTTGTGAGCTTAAGATTGGTGAATGTTGTTCAGTTCAGTTCTTAGAACGATTAAAATTTTTATCTAAATGTGTTTAAAAGTCATAAAGATTATTGTATAACCTAAAACTACGTCATCGTCCTTTCTCACTCGAGGCCACGCTGATCATTAGTCTATAGGTGTCTCTGTCTACGGTTCGCGTAAATATAAGAAATCATTATTCTTTTTCATTGACAGGCCACAGTACCTACATCTACCTATCATCCTCTTTATATATATTTATTGCCGGGTGATGCCTTGTTAATTCTATGATCTATATGACTAGACAATTTTAACTCTGTGCTTAACAGTTTAGATCAAAGATACGTGTGTAAACTTTGCATAGATAGATGCTAGTGGAGAATTTTAAAATGATAATTTTCTGTACACAGCACTACGATACAAATATTTCGGTATGAATATTTAACGTTTTTTAACGTTTTTCTTAACTATCACTCGGAATAAATCAGTTTTTTTTAGAAAGATGAGTGGTTACATACCTTAATAACTAACTGTTCACAGGTTTTAGTTTTTAGACCACATTAACACATGATACATGCGGAATTCCAACCCGCGGCACTGCAGCGCTGTAGCCAAATCTTTAGTCACTGGGCTATCAATATATCAACTCATAAAAATGAAGAAAATCTTTATAATATCCAACAGTTTATTATACAAATTAACCTATGGGCTTCCCGAGAAATTGTGCGATTGGATCACCAGCTTTCTTGCAGATCGGGGCATCAAGGTCGTTGTAGACGGTGCAAGCTCCGATTGCAAGCCTATTAATGTTGGTGTTCCACAAGGCTGCGTGCTATCGCCAACGCTGTTTCTTCTGCATATCAATGATATGTTGCAAACCCGTAACATTCATTGCTATGCAGATGACAGCACTGGTGGTGCTCTTTACACCGGCCGAGCCAATATTTCTCGGGAAAACGTCTCCGAGTGCCGGGACAAACTTGTGTCTGAAGTCGAGTCTTTGCTGAACAGAGTCTCGGATTGGGGGCGACTAAATCTAGTCCAGTTTAACCCCCAGAAGACACAAGTTTGCGCGTTAACCACTAAAAAGAACCCTTTTGTCGTATCTCCTCAGTTTCAAGGCACTCCCCTTGTTGCCTCAGCCAGTATCGGAATCCTCGGCATTGACATATCGAGTGACGTGCAGTTTCAGTGCACTTGGAAGAGAAGGCCAAATTGGCCTCTAAAAAGCTTGGCGTGCTCAGCAGAGCGGGACAGTATTTCATGCCGGCACACCGCCTGCAACTTTACAAGGCGCAGGTTCGGCCGCACATGGAATACTGTCCCATCTCTGGGCTGGGGCTCCCCAGTACCAGCTCCTTCCACTTGACCGCATCCAGCGCAGAGCGGCTCGAATCGTCAACGACCGAGTGCTTTCTGATCAGCTCGATTCACTGGTACTACGAAAAGATGTTGCATCCCTTTTCATTTTCTTTCGCATCTACCATGGAGAGTGCTCTGAGGAATTGTTCGGATTAATCCCAGCCGCCAAATTTCGTGAACGCACTACGCGGAAAACATCGCGATACCATCCACATCATCTGGATGCTTGGCGGTCCACCACTGTACGTTTCAAGAGGAGTTTTCTTCCGCGTACAACCTTTCTGTGGAATAGTTTACCACCAGCGATTTTTCCGGACCGATACGACCTGGGGACCTTCAAGAAAAGAGCGTACTCCTTTCTAAAGGTCAGGCAACGCACCTGCAATTCCCCTGGTGTTGCGGTTGATCATGGGCGGCGGTAATCACTTAACATCAGGTGAGCCGCATGCTCTTTTGCTCCCTCTTCTATATAAAAAAGTCCACATACGCCAGGCAAAGTGGCAGATTGTACTCCTCGGTCTTCTGTACAATCTGCCGCAGGGTATGTATTTGGTCTATGGTACTGAAGCCTTTTCGGAAACCGGCTTGTTCGGGAGGCTGGAAGTCGTCGAGACTGCGTGCGAGACGATTCATAATGACTCTAGAAGACAGCACATAGACGCGGCTCAGAAGTGAAATCGGTCTGTAGTTCTTCAAGAGAGCGTTGTCGCCTTTCTTAAAGAACAAGACCACCGCGCTTCTGCTCCACGCCTCCGGAGTAGTGCCACCATGGAGGACGGAATTGAAGAGCTTCTGAAGGACTTCAAGTACCGGTGTTCCACCCGCTTTTAGAAGCTCCGCTGTAATTCCATCCTCGCCTGGGGCCCTGCCGTTTTTAAGGTGCTGGAGAGCCATTCTAATCTCGCTCAGACTGACGTCCGGGATATCATCGGAATAGTGTCGGGTAAGACTTGCTCTTGTATCGTTACTCACACTTGCGTGTGGCTCCAACGATGATGTGTACAGCTGCCCATAGAACCTCTCAATCTCACTCAAAATCTCAGGTGTCCCGGAAACGATGCTGCCACACTCAGTCTTCAGCTTTAACAGTTGGCTCTTTTTTTTTGACAGATCTCTGGCAAAGACTTTGGAGCCCTGGTTCCGCTCGATCGCTTCTTTAATACGAGCAGTATTAAAGTTGCGTAAGTCTTGCCGCATGCATTTGGACCTCAGATGATTTGGAGCCGCATGCATCTGTTCAGTTGCCTGTATGTTGTCAAATCTGTTGACGATTGCAGCCTCATCTCCCGTCTAACAGCCATGAGATTAAGAGTATGATCAGAGAGTTTTTGTGTTCTTCTGCGGCGGGTCTTGCAGAACTTAGCTCCGACCGCACGGACAGTTTCCACGAGCTTGTCATTCATATCGTCCACTGCATTGCAATCTTCTAGGCACTGAAAGCGGTTACGTAACTCGAGCTGAAAAGTCTCGGGATTCTGGATCAGAGCACGAGGGGGACGGAGCGTTGAATTCATTAGACGAGACCTCTCCAAGTTAACGTTTAGGTTCAGTGTGCCTCTAACCATTCTGTGATCGCTGCCGGTTTTCACCCTTGCGATCACTGAGACATCACTGAACAGTTGGCGTCTGGTCGTCATAATGAAGTCAATCTCATTTTTTGTCGAACTGTCGGGGCTCGACCAGGTCTACTTCCTGTGGGGCCGCTTCTGATTCATTCTGATCAAATTGAATGAAATTTGAAATTTACCGTATTTATATAATGCCTGCTTGCTGACTGAAAAAATTCAAGCTTATAGTTTTTTCCAGAACGAAGTTATGGGGTCGAAAATGGCCTGAACTGCTTCGAGAAAAGTATGGTACCGCCGTGCCGCTTTTTTGCTCGACTGCCGTGCCCATTTCTGTTCTATTTCTGTATTATAAGTTGTATTTTAACGAAAAGATTTGTTTATCGTCTATATATAACCGATACACAAATTCAAATAGGATATAATCATATTACTGACCGTGTACTGGTGGCATAAGAGGCGACAAAGGGAAACAAACCAGGAGATGGGCAGTAGCGTCTAACTAATTACAATAAAAAAACGCGTGTTGCGCTTATCAACCCACCAAGCAAGCGTGACAAACTATAAGGCAATTTATGGGGGAGGCCCCTGTTCAGCTAAACTAATTAGTAACGAAGTTTGTGGAGTTTTGATAGGCTGTAACAGTAATTACTTTACAAATGGCCAAGATCGTGACGAAAATATGTCGAGAAAGCAGTGGCGAAGCTTCCATTAAAGCCGAAAAGCCGGGCTCGCCTTATTAAACCTGAATCAATCAATAATATCAATCAATAATATCAACTAATAAAATAACTCGTAAAATGTTTCAAGCTATTTCAAATTTTCCGCGCACTCCACTGTTCGACACATGTCGACCGATGACCTCGTATTGCCTTAGCGATACTGCTGCTGTCATAAAAAATGAGTTTTAATAGAGCTAATAGTTGTCTCCCTCGCTCGTGTGGGCTTTTTACGGGGCTTTCGAGAAGACAATCGCTCTCTTTCTAACCTATGGCAAAATATTCTATAATGAAATATAACTACGATTGTATATATAGCAATTAGTATAGAGATTTAAAGCCAGGCTTTTGGGAATAAATTTGTTAAAAACGGAGGGGCGCGGGCAATACGTTTGCAAGTTCATTTCACGTTTCAATGTTTATTTACTGTGTGTGCTAATCTTAAGCTATTCAATATTACGAGTTCAAAATTTATGCTTTTTTAAAGATTTTTAATGAAAATGGAGGATAATAGTGTTCCTTGTGATGAATTGAAATGTGTTAAAGTGATAATCGGAGAGGAAATCTTTAAACTTTGTTGAGATAATACACAAGGTTGAGAGTGTATTTCATACTTATCGATTATCGCAATTAAAAATAAAAACAGTTATTGGGACAATTAAAACGTTCACCAACATTTTACGTGGACGTAATTAAATCTTTCCATAAGAAAGCGAGACGATTCCACTTATCTTATCTTCTCTCTTATCCATTAGAATGTAAATATATTTTTTTTAATTTTGTGCATAGTTTTTTTGTACTTTGTTCGTGTTTTACTTTTGTTCATGTATTGTATTGGATGTAAATATTTTTTTCTTTCGCTTAAACAAACCCAAACGGCTTTCTTCAAAGCCACCGAAGCTATGCAATTGCTGATATGTTTTGCTTGTGTTTGTTAAACACGTCCTTGACGGCACTGAATATGAAACTGAAGCGTGGAGACAGATCATGATTAGTGTATTTTTATAAAACTGCTAAAAACAACAATCTATATTTTTATCAATTTATATCTTGGGCTTGCCCTAGCTTGGAGCTCTAGCTTCGCCACTGCGAGAAAGCACTATCTTACAGTAAATATATTAGCTATACGACCCTTAAACGAGGAGGTTATAGCAAAAAAATCTGGTATAACTAAAAGAAAAAAAAACACGTAACGGTGAAGACGATATTTTATATTAAAAAAATATTTCATAATATATGACAAGAAAATGTTACAGAGATAATTTATTTTCTTTTTCAGATGTAAGCCAGCTCAGAACATCGCCGTGCTAGTTTACTGCAATGCTAATCTAAAATTAAGTTAAAATAATAAAGATATATTGTTTATAATCAAAAGCTTTTTTTTGTTAGGGAGTTCCCACATTTATCGACGCGGAATCGGCTTATGCCGCACCTAATCACCACACTACTCGGCTTAATGCCGATCAACCGTTGCGACGGCTGTTCACAAACGATCGGCAGTCGACTCCTTCGAAAGGCGGTTAATTCCCCGGAACGGCCGTCGCGACGGATGTACTCTTACGTTCGGCAGTTGACTCATCGTTCATCATTCGACTATAGTCCAACGCCGTTCAGCCGTCTTCTGCGCTGTTCTGCTGCTATTGGAAAATAAATCAAGCAAGCAGATTGTTTTAACGCCGTTCGGCTGACTTCGACGCCGTTTGGCTACCGTCGAAAACTTAAACGCGTCGATGTGGGCGTTCGGCTACATTCAGCATCGTACGGATGCGATTAGCTAATCGGCACACTTTTACAGTCAGCCGAAGTCGCGTCCGAGCCAAGCCGATAAGAATGGCATTAGCAACACCCGTATTCACTAGGCATAAAGGATTTTTGACCGGCAGGAGCCGATTACGCATCGATAAATGTGGGGTCTCCCTTATAAGCCACGGTAAGTGGTGTGCTCAGAAGTCTCTCGGGATTCAGACAAACAAGGATTAAATCTGCAACAATACCTCCCATATACTGTTGTTATAAATAAACTGGCAGGCTTTGGACACGTGGTTTTGTCCTTTCTGGCATGACGAGCAACCGTGCGTTTTAACAAGGTTTAAAAAAGTAATAGTTTCACCACAGCGTTAGGTTAGATCGAATATGATCGCGAGACGATCGCGTCCAGATTTTGTGATTTGCCAGCACTAAACCAAGATATATTGTTAATATACGTCTTTTTAGTTCATAAATATAGCATTTCTTAATAACTAGACCAGGGGTTCCCCCTCTTTTAAGGTAATGGAACACTCACCAAATCCCTTTTATTTTATAGAACCCATGTGGGGTTCCATAAAATAAAAATGATTATAAATTAAAGACAGTGACATTATTAAATACTCAGCTAAAAAGTTAAATCTTTAAGTTACATACAGAACAAATACGAATCTTCTAAAATAAAGGGATCAGCTTCAGGGAACGGTCGATGAGTTTGACCGATGCAGCAAGAAATGTGAGGAATCCCTCTGATTGATTGCTGCAGTTACAGTTAAGTGAGGCTAATAAGTAGATTATCCAATTAAAACAATACATAGATGTTTTTAAAAGCGTCCCAAGCTCATAGTCTATTCAATGAGCATATAGAATGTAAATCTTCCAAAACATTGCAACCCTTCACAACAATTGATTTGACTGGTGATAATTATGTCACATCAAGAACAGCAGAAAGGATTACTTGCAGTAGAAGAAAATTAAAGAAATGCAATATTAAAAAAGCGGTCTAGGTGCGACCCGAAAGGTCCACACGTCTAACTTGCAAGTGGAAAGAATAAAAAAAATATCATATGTTTTAATATTTTATACAATTATTCACTCGGCACAAAAAACCACTTGACCGATTTTGCCCAAAATTTAAAGAGGTCAAAGTCACATAATTATGCGTTAAATGAAATCGGTCCCATGTCAATATCACTCTTTGATACACAAGGCGAAAAATGAATCCGAACATACATTATACATACATACATACCTACATGTCATCCTCTTAAAAACATACTATTCGACTCTAAAGACCTTGATACGTGGAGATATGTTAAGATTTCCAATTTGGAAAATTGGACCCATTACAATTACTTCCCACTGGGAATAAAAAACTTAAAGTTATTATGTATTGTGATGTATTAGGCAAACATTTGGGCATGATGTTAAATAACCATTTAAAAGGACAGCTAGTTCGTAATCATTGTATGCACGGAGCATCTTTTAGTCATATAATGGATAAAGTTTTAGCTAGTAAGTTTTGTCCTAATAGCACATTATTAATTTTTGTTGGAAGAAGAGCCAGTGTAAACAAAAATCAATTATTAAAATTTATTGAATATCTAAATTGAACATACATAAAATAATCTTGTTTATATTGCCTTACATACAGGGTTGGCCACAGGAATATAAAAAGATACGATTTAAATTTATTAATGGATAATTTGTCATATAAGAATAATTTAAATTCGACATTTAATTGTAACAATTATGATAGAATTACTTTAATAGGCATTAATAATTTAATTAAGAAATATTTGACTACGGATAGATGTTACCTACCCAAATATAAAGACAGTTATAGTTATCTTGACGTGCAACATGAATAGATAACATTTTTACAAATGTTTAGCCGTTCCATAGATGTATAATTAAAAAATTGAGCGCTGATCACTCTGGAAAATTAGTTTCGTTACCTTATGTTCACAAAAAGCAAGTAGATTAAATGTTGTATTTGTTCCATTAAATGCACGTCGCTTAAAAAAATTTAGAAATAACATAGTAAAAAAACTTCTGTCACTTTCTTACAAAAGTAATCTAGATTTTTTGTGTGGTACATTATGTAACTTTATTTGCAATGAATTTGTTATTACTTTTACTTTTACAACTTTCTCTTTGAACAATCGCAAGCCATTCAATGAATGGACGACAGTAAGAGTGCATAAGAGCAGACATGGGTTATTTGAACTTTACGATGAAAGGTCATATAATCCTAGCGTCGAATTTAAAGTATATGTAAAAACATCTATCAAAAATATTTAAAAGAATGTGCTCCATAGCCAAGTCTTTGAATATAAACGGTCTAAGTATTTAAGCAACTAAATTAAGACGGCTTCTAATAAAATAAAATGACGTGGAGTGTAATTAATAGTGAAACTTATAAGGTTAGTTCTCGCAATTCAAACTACCAGTAAAATTTTAACAATAAAGTAACTAAATCCGATCAGGACTTTGCAATGGTTGAGAAATATTTTACTGATATTTTGATCTTAACCACTAGGTCACTGAATTCTTCTCCTGCGGTCGGCGAGTCATTACTTAAACAAAATAATTTACATTTTGTACGTGTGTACAAATAATTTCACATTTCATAAAGTATCATCAAAAGATATTGAAAAATATTTTAAAACTATTAACCGAGATGGGAATTTTATCGTAGATATTCGAACAACTTTATTATTTTAAATACTAGTATCGAATCTTGTGTGTTTCCTAATTTAATGATCTAAAGTAAAGTAACGCCTTTATGTAAATCCAGTACATTGGAAGTAGTACATTGGACCCCGCCAATTTTAAATCAGTTAATGTACTGCCAACCATTAGTAAATTTTTAAAAAAAATTGTCTTGATCATATATCAATTTTTTTAATATAAATAATTTACTAAATAAAAATCAATTCGGTTTTACAAGAGGTCGCTCGACAACTGATGCTGATGTTGAGCTGATTCAATATATATTTAAGGCATGGAAGAATTCAAAGGATGCTTGGGTATATTCTCTGATACATCCAAAGTCTTCGATTGTGTTGACCATGAAACATTACTCAGGAAACTTCAACACCACGGTGTAAGAAGTAATGCTCTTAAATTAGTTATTTCATATTTAAGTAACAGAAAGCAAAAAGTTGTTATTAATAGTAAGAGTTCTTCCGGGTCGATAGTACAAATTGGCGTGCCTCAGGACTCAATTCCTGGCTCCTTTTTGTTTCTTGTATATATTAATGGCTTACCTTACATAGGAGGAAATAATCATGATATAGTATTATTTGCTGATGACAATTCATTAATTTTCAAATTAAAACGTAAACAAGTAAATTGGTTTAATGTTAATAAATTGCATTTAAATGGCACTAAAACTAAATATATGAAATTAATAACTCTGAATGTCAAACATGTCGGTACTAATGTAATTTTAAATGAGGAGGAGCTGAGTCTTGTTGATGCCACCATTTCTCTTGGAATCACACTAGACGCAAAGCTTCAAATCAAAACTAGCAAGCAAACTCAGTTCTGCAGGAGATGCTGTAAAAATATTAGAAATCTTACCAGTGTTGAAACAGCTAGACTAGTTTACTTTAGCTATTTCCATAGCAAAATACCATATGACATTTTGCTATGGTTACACGCTACTGACACTGAAATTACATTTGTTTTACAGAAGAGGGTTATTAGAGCAATCTATGATTTAAAACCTAATGTCGCTCAGACAAAAAATTAATATACTAACTTTGGCCTCTTAATACATTTATGAAAATGTGTACGTACACAAAAATAAAAGTAGTTTTACTAAAATAATTGATATTCATTCTGTAAATACCAGGAACAGACACAAGCTAGTAGTACCAGTTACTCGATTCCACCGAGTCAGCAATTCATTATTGGGGCGATGTATACGCTTTTACAACAAAATCCCAAAAAATATACGAAATTTGCCCTGCACAAAGTTTATTAAATATGAATTTATTAATATATTAATTTATAATATTAAGGTTGCCCTAGTCGAAGGCACGAACTAAGTGGTGGGCGGGGTAAAAATGCATGCTATCTCAGCCGACATCACGTGCGAAAGCGATAGACGCTGTGATGAGCAGTAAGAAGCTAATGCGCACACACATACGCACTCGAGTGACGCAATGCGAGACGGCGTCATCGCATACCTACCTATGCGATTCATTTTTGAATAATAACATAAACTTAAACGGCAATTTGAGCTCCGTATCGTAGTGGCTTAACAATGAGGCTACGCTGGGCACCGCGGGTTCGAATCCCGCACGGAACAAATATTTGTATGGCCTACAAATAGTTGTTCCGGGTCTGGATGTTTGTCCTTGTGCAATTTATGTTTGTAAACTGCCTCCACGATATTCTCTTGGAGAAATCGGGGGCACTCTTCAATAAATGACAGCAAATCAACCGCGATTGCTGCTATCGCCTATCTATGCATTCCTTACACAATCACACAATATAATATCACGCCTGTACCCACTAAAGGGACATAACTCTCAACTAAAAACGGTAACATA